GAAGGGTCCCCGAAGGGCCGGCAGCCTTCCCGCCACCCTTCGGGGACTGCGCTGCTGGAGCGGCACAGCTGGCCCGCAGGGCGAGCGGGATTCACCAGTCTGGAATTGGGCGTGTTTTGCTGAGAAACACTGAACGCCAGTAGTGACAACAGCTGCAGAAAACAACAGTGCGTGCCAGAAATGAATGACAATACTCCAAATGTTAAAAAAAAATTATATTGTAAGTACAGTACAAAAAAGTTTCTTCGTATAATTGTAACATAATCTGGATCAAACAGCAAGGAATAACAAAAATATAAAAACTGCTAAGTCTTGCCAAAGTTTTCCCTCTAGTACCAAATACCACAAGATACAGATTATACAAAGTGTACAAATTTTAAATAAAAATACAATACACCAGGGTTATGTGTGTTTTTCAGACTCTTAAGAGTTTTCCATTGTACAGACGACGAAGCTAAAGCTGATCCCCTTCTGTTCTACCCCTTCACCACGATGCTCTCAATTGTAAAGGGCTGGAAAGAACCAGCGATTTTGTGCCGCTCCCAACAGCAGATGCTTCAGTAAGGGCCAGGGCCCGAAGCAGGATGGGGCTGCCTCCCTCCCGGGCCCTTCCCAATTCCAGGCTCACTGGCATTAGTCATGTGTTGTTAAAACATGTATGCTCTGGTCTGGGGCTTGGGTTGAGAACCTTCTGCCTCCTCCACTAACTGACTGAGAAAACCTAACACTGCACTGAGAAAAGCTCCATAAGAGACAGACTACCTTGTACAGGCACAGCTGGGGAATACACAGTAAACAGGAATGGGGAGGAAAACCCTCCTGCACACCTGAGGATTTAATTTAAGTATGATTTCGGGGCTCAGCCACCAAGAGGGACACCTCACTTCCAACTGCCCTGAAAAACAGAAGCCAGACTTCAGGTTGGAAGTAAAAAAGTGCTCTTCTGTCGTTTTAAAACTTTTATGTTATAAAGCTGGAAAGGCTAGAGTCAAATTATACTTCAGTTGTTCTACCTACCTTCACAAGATAGCCTGTTTCTCCAAACACTTAAAATCTTCCTGGTGTTTCCCCCTTCAACGCCAATGCTACTACACGTATAGCTGATTCCTGCAGGAAGTGGGGTGAGGCAAACTTGATTGATACTTTCCACACACTGTTGGTGGAGGGAGGGGGTTTTGCTTTTAAATTATGTATATATATATACACACACACACAGAGAAATATACAGGATAAATTAAAATCTGTTACAGATACTGGTAAAAGTTAAATACATATGATATGAACACCACATATGCACACATACAGACACACAAAAGCCTATATGAGAATTCAGTGCTCTCCTGCGGCTCCTTTTCCAAGGGGAGCAGAAAACCAAACACCAAGTATGTGGCTGGAAGGAAGGGGAATCAGTCCAATCAACCCACGTGTGCCTTACTCAGCCGTAACTGCTTCAAACTGGTCATTAGTCACTGCCTCACAGCAGCACCATGGCTCTTTCAATACTGCTGGTGAAAGGGATGAGGGATGAGCGATCTCGGAAAGCAAAGTTGTCTGTTCACAAAACAGGTGCAAGATGGGCAGAAGCAATCCAAGTTTTTCCCATCTGCTTCCACATGCCTCTCCATCAAAGCAGGTTGACCACGCCCTGGAAAAATCAGCAGGAGGTTCATTCTCTCAAGCCAATGCAGTTGGTTGATACATCGTGCTAATGACGATTTGGGTGCAAGTCCACAAGAAAAGATTAAATTCGTTGTCATCTTCCACTTTACTTCAAATGCCAGCTACCAGACCAGCCAGCTGATGCTGACAACTTTCAGTCACTACTGACTGAAGGGCGGGGGGGGGTTGGAAGAAGTGACCAAGAGGCAAAGACCTCTGTATCTTTGATCAGCTATCCAGCTTTCCCCTCAAGCAGTAGATTTTAAACTGAAAAACAGTTAGAAATAGGGCTGGCGAAGAGTTCAGTTCTATTCCTTGGTCCAAAATATATTATCATCTCTACCTGCCCATAGAATATCCGAATACTTTAGGTTGGAAGGGATATCAGGAGGTCATCTGGTCCATCCCCATACTTAAGTCCAACTAGAGCAGGCTGCTCATTCAGTTTTTGAATATCATCAAGGATGGAGAGTCAACAACCTCTCTGGGCCACCTGTTTCAATGACCCCTCTCATGGTGATGTTTTTTTCTTTACATCGAGAAGTCCATTCTCTGGCTGCTTCCCCCACTAAAGGATCTGAATTTAAGGCAAGTATCTCAAAAGCTTTCTGAATCTTCACACAAAATACTTCCAGATTGGAGGACATTTCACCCACCAACACAAAAGGGTTTTCTCAGCTTAACTTCCCATCTTTTCATAAAATAGAAGTCAAATAGTTACAATCCTATGTATATACTATACAGATATAAAACTTTAAAACCCTACACACGGAGCCCTTCAGGAGTGCCGGCGTAGTGCATATGTACACAAGTCAGTTACGCAGAGGTTGAGTACATCCTAGGATCCTTTCCCATCAAAGTCCAGGCATGATGTAGGCGATGTTGTCTAGTGTGTTTGACTGGGAAAAGAAATTCAGTATTTTTTAGTGTCAGGTAATGACTTGAAATCCTTAAAAAAATAACACAGGCAAGCGTATTAAGCATGTTTGCTTGTCTTACGAGTTACCGTATGATGAGACAACCAAATCTGCCTAGTCACCACCACGACTGCTAGGCTTATTTTCATATTTTTGGAAATGTAAGTTAATTAAACATAAACCTCAGTAGCCTCAGTATTTGTGAGCACCTGGAAACAATAAAAATGCTTGAGGCTTTCCTCAAGTGACCTCCTCCTTACGAACCCCATACTCTATCTCTGAATTTGAAACAAGCCACATCGACCATATCACATCAACCACAGGAAAGACTAGTGATGAAGGGCTTGAGCAAAGTGATCAAAGTTGTAGCATATAAAAAGAATTACTCGACTTTACACTCACAAGTCCTTTATGAAATTCTGTAGAGCAAAACTAAAGAGAAAAACCCTCAAACATACCCACTAATAGGGTGTCAGACGGGAAAAAAAAGTGCCTTCCAGTTTTCATTGCAAATTGCAATAGAATTCTGAGAGTAAGTGTCCTTCTCGTGCACATCAGAAAACAAGACCCAGCAGTATATTATCTGTATATTCTTCAAATGCAGTATTTCAGTAAGCTCAAGCCTGTGGCTGGATGGCTGAAGAAGGCCTTAGGAATATTGCCTTTTAATTGCTGAAGACAGAGGAGCTAGATCGGCACCAGTTGTGATTCTAGAATTTAACAATGCCACCCACTGACTGAAAAGATAAATTGCATTCTATTTGCAACACGACCACTGACAATTTTATCCATTTAAAACACCGCTGTCCGTAATGTATCTGATGGTAAAAATCTGAGTAATTTATTTATTATCAAGTCCAAATACTAGTTTTCAGAAGTGAAGGATAAGTGCCTTAATCCACCTAAAGCTTATAACAATAAGTTGATCAAGTTTCCAATATACGCACCATTAGTCATGTGGTGTCATTGCTCTGAAGGCACTTGGCAAGCAAGAAGGAAAAAAAGTATAGGATGTTTTTCCAGGGCTTAGGAGGGAACACCCCACTGACTCAGCTTTTGTGCAGACAGGCAGTTTGTGGGAGCTCACAGCCTAAGCTGTCAACTTTGTTGTTGTTTCCGAGTCCTTTCTCAGAATGAATCAATGTTTGGGCCACCCTATTATAACATGCCAATTCATATCCCATTTTTGTTGTTCTCTCTGCCAGATTTGTTTTTAATCTCTTAACTTTTGCAGACTATATATTTATTTTTCATTTCTGCTCCTCTCCTTCTCTGCTTTATTCATGTCTCCTGTTGGAGTTGTGACTCCTGATTTCCTTTATGCTGCTGCCACCTTAATCTATGTCCACATCATGCTACATAGATGCCACAAGCTGTTGCTAAATCAGGGCTCAATATTAAGTGTAGTTTGAAGTGGAAAAGAACCTGTAGTTATACAGTTCCTTAAAACAGACTATTTTTCTTTCCTTGGAGAAGGTTACAGCTACATGTAAAAGGCCCTACTCAATCACATTAGGAATCCTAAGATCACAAGTTATTTTTTGTGCTACTGAAGGAAAAACAGATTGTGTGATACAGAGCAGCTAGAATGGGCTTTTTATTTTTATGGAAAATTAGAACTTTCAAAAATACTGGTATGTGTACAGGTGCTTTTATTTGATTCAGATGGATTGATTCAGTCAATAAAACATGATCTACACACACTGCAATCAATGCTACAAATATTAGGTCACTTGCCACTGGGAGAAAAAAAGTTGCACAATACCGTACAACAGTAACATCTTAAGGAATTTCAAGAAATATTTCCCTATAAAAGTATATGACCAAGACAATTTTCTTATTGCACTGGATTATAATCACATCATAAGACTGATTAACCAAAAAACTCTAGCTGGACTCCAGTGAAATTAACAGTGCTAGAAGGGAAATAACCACAAGGAACTCACCAAAACGTGCTTAGGGCAGCCATTCAACTCAGGTAGTTGCGTGGTCAGACATGCTAACGGGCCTAAAGCACAGATGATTGAATCCAGAAGTACTGACAAACTTCCTGAAACAGCCACCATTCCCTGGCAGTAAGGAAAGAAAAAAATGGATGGGGATGAGTAGTGGAAATTAGGGTTCTTTCACAACTGTATTGATTCTTATCAATATACAGTATCTTCACTCTTGAGCTCCTCTAGTCCACTTTCATTATTCACACAGTAACAAAACTATGCCATGTGCTTCACAGAGAGACTGCTAGCTCAAAAAATTTAAGAATTCAGGAGGCAACATACCGGTGTACGAAAAAAATAGGGAACAACAGAAAAGGTCAGAAAGTTGTCAGTTGTGTAAAACACTTAATTCCACATTTTTTTTGTAATGTAATTACTTTGCCATTTCATACCATCTATTTTGTTAACTACATGAGTCCTAAAGACAATAGTTGTTTTATTATGAAGTCTAAAAAAATGCTAAGTCTAACAAATGCTTTAGTCACTGATATACTTTCAGGAAAGGGAATTTGTTTGTGTGCCTTTCTGTAAAGGGGGAGATTTTACTCCGGTTGTTCTTCTGAAGAATGACTTCAATCGGTCATACCAGAAACAAAATGCAAGAACATTTATTTTATTTATACTTATAAAACAAGCAAGAGTAGTGGGATGAGGTGATCACGTTAGCCATAGAATTCAATGATATTATTTGAGCCAAGTATGTGTTCTCCTTACAGGCTGGGCTGAGTTCTGAAAGTGCATGTGTGCCTGTGTGTGCATGCATAGAATCATCATCATCTAACAGCAGGAATCCATTAAAATGGTTTAAATGGTAGATGTGGCGCTTAGGGACATGGTTTAATAGTAGACTTGGCAGTGTTAGGTTCATGGTTGGACTCGATGATCTCAAAGGTCCTTTCCAACCTAAATGATTCTATGATTCTAAAAAATGACATCTTCTATGTTACCAGGTAAGTTGAAACAATAGTAGCCCCATCCAAAGCACTGGCAATACGATACTGCCAGAAGACAACAGGACACGCAAAAAACATCTTGGTAAAGGCCTTCTCTGATGGTTTTCTAAGAAGGCTTGAGACAGTAACAGAAACTGGACCAGAGATTGGCAAAGATAGCAAGGAAGTACCAGATCCAAGGTGAACATATAGTAAGAAAAGTCCGAAGAGATTGTAGAACTAAGAATTGCCTTCAAGGACCTAGAGCTACAAAGGACCTGTCTTTTTTTGATGCCTACTCTTTACTGAGAAACAAGGCTTTTTATTTCCCTGAAAACAAACAGCAATGCATCAAAGAAATACAACACATATCTCTAATTTCTCTCCCTAACAGAAAAGCATTGGCTAAACTTTTAAGTAAAATAAAATAATAATCCTCCCCAATCCGGTGTGTAGATTACATGACATCACTGTGACATCGCTGGTTATAGACTCACCTCTGTTTCCTGCAGTCTGTGTCCAATAAGGCTCAGAGATTCACCCAGCAGCTGTAAGTGTGCAGCTACATCAATAGGATCTGTCTCAGGGACTTTGGCTGGTGAGGAAGACACCACCACGGTGCTGGTGGGGGATTTCTTATGAGGGGAAATCACTCCTGTTGGAGAAGCTGGAAACACACAAATTAAAATTCCGTATTCTCTTCTTTCATTCTTTTACTTACAAGCCTATTTACTTAGTAAAGTTCAAATCTCAAAGGCATGCGATGCTTAAAAATAGTTCTGTGGACCTGGTCCTGTGGTCTTTGCGAGTCAAAACTTTCTTTCTACATGTACAAAGCATCTACCTCAGCTGAATGCAATTTGGGATGTTTGGTTTGGGAGATTCGATAAACAGAGATGCCAAGCCAAGAACAACCCTTTTTCCTCTAGAAGCAAACTAATCCCACTAGAACTTCCCTGCTGCCTCTTCTTATTTTACATTTCAATCCCTAAACTGCTAAAACCAATAGCATTCTACAAATTAGACAAGGCAATCTTTTTAAAAAATGCTGTCATTCTCGCTCTCACAGAAACATTGTTTTTGAGTAATATGATGAGTTAAATGTCAAGACTTGTGAGAAAGCAGGTAGGGGTGTGAAGCAGGAAAGGACCTTTGTTCCTTATTCCACTGGCAACACTATCTTCCCTGTTCAAGAAAGAAGACCAGAGCAAATGAAGTGCAACAACTACCTTTTATTTTTGGTGCACCATCTGAAGATGACGCCTTTCTCTTCACAGTGGTGGCCTCTGCTTTATTCTGCTTGTGTTGGAGATACTGAGCTTTCTGTTTCCAGATCTGCAGTTACCATGGTATGAAAAAAAGAGATTCATAACATTAGGTAATTCTGTTACCTGATGCCAGGACCTGGAGGCAGAATGATGTTATGTAGCTAACTGGTGAAGCAATACCATGAGAAGAAAATGGATGCTTTTATGATTGCAAGGGCAAGATTTCCATACCTTCCATCTTTACATACATGGGGACAAAGGCAGCATTTTTCAAGGTACGGTGGCAATGCTGCCAGCATGTTCGGACCTAAGCACCTAGTTTAGAGAAATCATTGTGCAAAAACATCTCACACACACTCACCAGTTTATCCTTCTCAGGTAGCTGCTTCCACACTTCTGCCAGTTTTTTACTTAGCTCTCCAAAATCTGGCAGAAGGAAAGAAGAAAAATGTTTAAAACAAATGTTTAAAACAAATGAAATAATAAAATTATGCAGAGAACATAGGAAATTTACTGGCCCATGCATACATATTTAGGAAGCAACCCATTCCACAACTGGAACTCTCCACAGTGTCCTGAAAATGATTACCAGTGTGCATTCCCATTACTGTTTAAAATGAAAAAAAAAAGCTGATACCGGGAATATAAAGTCACACAAGTATCTACAGGAAAGTGACACAATAAAAATAACTCTTCATGTAAAGAAAGAGTGAGCTAGCAATTTCTTTATCCAGATTCACAGCTTGGTTAAAACGCAATGAAACCAAATAATGAAATCCACTCCTGTCCCCTTTGCCACCTCTTATCCAAAGAAAATTGGCAGATTCTTTGCATTCTGTCAAAATTAAAAGGTTGGTATGAAACAGAGATGATATGTTCTGCTAATTAATCTGACTGGTGTATAATCAAGAGAAGAGAAGGCTAGATTATTCTCTCACCTATTCCAGGGTGCTCAGACACAATAGTTGTACGATACTCCTTACAGAACACTTGATAGGCAGACATGTTTTTCTTCTTTGGCTAGTCAGAAGAAGAAAAGGAAACAAAGATTTTTCTTTATAATGAGACCTACTCAAATTTAGTAAGAATTTGACATTTATTGAAGACTTAAAGAAAGATGTGATGCTTAGATCAGGAACCCAGAAAAGCAGTGTTTTACATCTTCTGGCTGAATTTAGTGTTTATGAAAGCACAGGAACCAGCCAGAACCAGTCTTAGTAGAAGGCTTACCTTGCAACAACTCTATCAATTTCATTCATAAGTTACAACAACCTGCTATTCTAAATCCAGGATCAACATACAACTCTGTTAATATATCTCAGTTTTAAAACTTAAAGTAATAAAAAAATACATATCTGTCATACTATTCACAATACCTATCATAGATCTGTCAAAACAATTCAGTCTTCATCACAATGTTTTGTTCCATTCCTTGCATCCTTACAAAACACTTCAAATTGGCAGGAAAATAGACAGTATAAGTACATTGACAGCAGAGGCATAAGCAGTTACTGAGCTACGATCAGAGAAAACTTATCAAATAGAACAGAATAATGGCTGAACAAATTTGGCTATGTCTGCCCATTTTCTGTCACAAAGCAACTCCTGTCTATCTGAACTGCTTTTCCCCATTTATGTACTTACACAGCTATAGTTACATCACCTATAAACTCATTCATATGCTAGCTACCATTTCTCCTCCTTACATTTTTATACACTAACCATGGAAAACTAAATTTATGAGTACAGGACAAATCTGGGAATGTGGTAGTCTATAAGAATTAGAATTTCATTTGAATACAGGAGTAAATGGACAAATATCTTCATTTTCAGGTTAGAGCTCGATTCCTTTTTACAGGAACTGTGATGATGGACTAGATCACTAGTCCAAAAATCTGCCTGGCAATAGCTAGAACCGGTTACCTTAGAAAATGATGCAGTTGTGCTTGGTACATAACCTGTACCAAGCAGATTAAGTATAACCTTTTCAAAGAACCTCGATCGGCTAAAGACTGCCTGTGCCACAAAACCAGAATGACATATATTCCTTTTGCTACAAACAGAAATCACAGTGGCTGACACATTTTTCACACTTCAGTGAAACCATTGATCCTGGTATTAGTTATCCTTCTGTTTCAATTTAACATGCCTTTGTAATAGAATGCCCAATTCACCATTACCCATCACCCAATTTCTATTTTCCCTCCAATTTTTCCTTACTTTTTCTCTTTCTCTTTCCTTTTCTCTTTCCTTTTCTTTTTCTCTTTCCTTTTCTCTTTCCTTTTCCTTTTCTCTTTCCTTTTCCTTTTCTCTTTCCTTTTCTCTTTCCTTTTCTTTTTCTCTTTCCTTTTCCTTTTCTCTTTCCTTTTCTCTTTCCTTTTCCTTTTCTTTTTCCTTTTCCCATTTCTCAGCTTTGTCCTTCTCCTTGTCTTCCTTTTTCCTCCTCTTCTCACCTTGACCATCTGAGTGAAAAACAGGAGGAGGAGGTGAAGGAAGAACATAGGGCGTACTGGGAGGAGGTGGTGGTGACATTGTTACTTCTGCTACTGCCACAGGAGCATGCCCAGAACTCTTTTTAGACTTAGAGTGCTTCTTCTCTCTGTGTTTCTCCTTGTCTTTTTTTTTCTTACTTTTTTTTGACTTCTTCTTCTTCTTGATTTCCCGGTAGGAGTCATCTATCACTAGCTCTCCAGCCTCCAACTCCCCACCAGAAGAGGAACCAGATTCTGGCGGTGCCTCCATACCTGAAATCTCATACTCGCTCCCATGGCCCTCTGAAAAAAGGGAGGTGTCAGCACCAAAACTCTCAGAAGGTGGATGTGGATCTGGAGGTGGTTTGTGCTTCTTCCGGGATGACTTCAGAAAGCTCTGCAGTTCGTGACCCAGAAGGAATGCTTGCTCATCCTGATTTCTTTGAAGATTTTTTTGCAGCTGCTGGTGCTGAAGAGTAGGAGAAAGAATCATCATCTGCTGCACTACTTTTCTCTTTTGGTGAAAGGATGAGCTTCATCTTCAAGCCATCAGGTTCACGAAGAGTAAGTGTCTCTGTGTTCACGTAGAGAGGTTTCATTTTTTTAGATTTGTGGAAGCTGCCATCATCCACTGAGTGCTCCCCACTGCTCCCACTCAGCTTCTTCTTGTGGTGCTCCCTTTTGCTTTCAGAATGGCCAGAGGAAGAATAAGACGATTTTTCAGAGGTCTTCTTTGAAGACTTCGAGCTTGTGGCCAAAGGTGAGGTGATAGCCTTGAGTAAATCCATGGTTGTATCGGCTGAGGATGGGCTAGAAACTGCTTTTTTCTTCTTCTTTGATGGTAGATCCAAAGGCGAAACACCTGAAAAAGATCAAGAGAAATGTACATCAAGATGATTCCCTTAAAGTCAGCATTACACTAGCCCAAAGAAGTGAAGTGGGAATCCTGCAAGGCTTATGATTACAACTAACAGATTTGCATCCTGGCTTAAACAGAAGATCTCTGAAGCTTGTAGCCAGATCGGCGCGGCCTTACTGACGCAATTCAGGAGCTGTAATGCCCGAGCTGGCCAAATAATTTAAGGCAGGAAGACAGAGAAGGAAAGTTCTTGAAGTTTTGTCAAACTCTCTGTTCTATCTTGAAATAACATATTTTGATGAAAATGTATCTTATTGAGCCTGAAATTACATCTCAAGTGCAAGGTTTTTGAGCCATTTTTAGCCAAGGTGAGACCAATGAATTGAAAATACAAGCTTTTTCATTCTGAAAACAGATTTTGACAAAATTTCAGCTTGGCTTTCTCTTTTCATTGGGTCAAAAATAAATGTTAAACATAATAAGCTTTTATGAACAGAATTGTCATTTTCTGGCCAGCTTATTAATTGTGAGAATAATGTTTCTGTATTTAAACTGAACCCAAAAGCATTTATTTTTTACCCTGATGCATTCTATTTTTATAAATTCAGAGAAGTAATACTATCTGCAAGTAAAATTACACTTTGTAATGGAATAGGGAAAAACGAAATGCAAATGCCAAAAGGGAAGGCATGGGTTAGAAAACTACAAGTTGTCAATGAAAAGGGAGGTGGAAGATCCTACCCCAAACAATGGCGACTTGTTAAGCTAGACTCTGAAAATATCATTCCCTAATCTTTCGCTGCCTGGCGCTGACCAGCCTCAGGTTTCTGATTACTTCTCCTAAGACAGGTTCATGTACCTTCCCCCCATAAAGTGCTAACCACAAAGCTTGATGACACTGGTTGAACAGTATCCTTTCCTCAAAGCCATGATCTGTCAGCCCCTTTCCCTGCCTGATTACTATCTTACCTCTGTAGCAGAACTCATCCGAGGAGTGCTTTCTCTTCTTTTTGTGAGGTTCTGTCCCTGGAAAAAGCTCACTGTCCTAGAATAAGAAGAAAAAAGTTGCTGACAAACAAGAGGGAAATAATATAGATTCACATGGACTACTGACATAGATAATAATTTGTACTACTGTAACATCAAGGAACCCTAGGTATGAACCAGGATCATTACTCTGCGTGCTGAAACAAGCAAAGGAAACATACGTTGTCCCCAAGAGCCCACAGTATAGGTTTAAGGTAAGAGACAAAAAGCATGGTACGGATAGGTGGGAGACTACAAAAAATGGTATTAGTCAAGATTGATTTCAGCACATCAGCCACCTAACCAGCATCAAGCTTTCTGTAGGCATTGCAACACAACAAGGCTACAAGGAAACTGAAAGACAGATCTCTATAGGGAGCTCCTCCCAAGTGAGAGGAGCAATACACAAGAAAACTTGAAAAAGCACATTTGAAAATGTTAAGAAATGGGCAATGAAAGCCAGCACTTGGAGATCAGCTGATGAGTTGATAAAAGACAGACATCTACCTCTTAACAAAGCTAAGAAATAACTAAGCATGCATAGCTGCTTATGAAAAATGAAGGTGAGCAGTTCATGTTTAATATGCCGAAAAAGATAAAAGAAGTGAAAGGAGGTACAGAGAGGTGACAATTAAAATGACGGGCCAAAAAATTGACCTTAATATGTCATGTCACCCTATTATTATTTGTCTCTTGACCAATTTATAGTCTGAAAATGAAGCTCCTCTACAGAGTTCCATCTGCATGGTAGAAGACAATTTTCATTTTAAACTAGAACTTTTTTTCCAGATTAAAAAAAGATTAAAAATAATCACAAGATAGTCACGTTTGAGCTAACAGCAGAAATTTTAGCTCAAAGGGGAAAATTTTGAAGAAACTTAAGTTGTCACCACGTGATTTCAGCATTAAGGCCCCAAAGAGGTGAACAGGGCAAGTTCACACCTCTCAAGAGCTATCGTTTCAGGCTGTCTGCAGAATCAGGAAGACAACAGCGCATCGGTTAACATTATATTCATCCTTTGCTGGCTATTTATACAACCATAAATTCTAAATATTTTTTTTTTGTGTGTAAAAAGTTATTCACGCTATCATATGACTTGCAAGGTTCTACGTCAAGACTAGGACAGCATCCTACTACCCTATTTTCTGAGGCCAGAAAAATCAGAATCAGTTGTAATTGGGAGTGACCCCCTCCTTTTCTCCAGGAAAGTTACTGAACAATACAGGACACAATTAGCTGCTCTTGTTGTCTTCTACATGCATTCCTATATAAAAACGAACAAGAAACCTATCCATCCCATTCCAGCCCTAGCTTTACACATATCTTTATGCCTTCAACCTTTTCTCTGAGGGCTTCCTGACCTGAGTTGCTATCTCGTCTTCCTCTTGCAGCAGATCTTTGTAAGAGCGTTTTTTCTCTTGCTGTATCCTGCCAGTTGCCAGCCCCACGTCATCAACACTTCGGTCACTCTCTAGGAACTCTAAGATTTATGTGAAATGGGAAAAAAGGAAGAAATTAAATACCCCATTAAGGAATGACAGACATGTGGACTATGCACAAAATAAGGTAACAGCGGACGTTGGCACAGTGATGCACAAAACCCAACAAACACAGGGGCCTAAAAGATAACAATCTGTACTCTCTGACCACAGGGATGGGGCTCAGTGCTCTAATGCTATAACACAATCACTCAAGATTTCATTTCTAACCCTTGTATATTTTTCTTCCTAAAGACAACTGGACCTAGAAATGTTACCATGACTAAACATATCCCTATCCCTGGTCTTCTGTTCCATTGACTTGGCAGGGAGAAGAAAGGCTGCAGTGGCAGTTTCAAATCAAGGTGTTTGCATTAGGTAAAACCACCCATTTCACTCAAGTTCTAATCCCAGTACTTTACACCTGGAAGTCAAGGGCTTGGGATCCTCCAGCAACCTGGCCAGGTTAAATTTAAGGGCTCCACAGCATACTAGGTTCCTTTCCCACTCTGACTGCATGGCCTGGCAAGGGCTGCAGAGGGTACCCTTTTTTTTTTGGCAACTCCCTCTGAGATTATGAAGCAGTCATACCTTCTTTCTTCTTGGAGTCATCATAAGCCATGGTGGTCCTGCAGGAGCCTGAGAATGTGTTGCCACGTCTGGGCTCCTTCCCCCGTTCCCATCTATAGGAAAAGGTCTGAGAAACAGAGAATGAAAATAACCCTCCCATAAAGAAGAATCACGATGTAAAATGGGAAACTTCCTCTGAACCAAGTGAAGATTCTCTGGAAGACAGTGGGAAAGGAAAGGAGTCTACCTTCTGGTCGGTTCATGCTCACCCCTCAGACTTGACAGAATTTTTTTTTTTTAAATTAAATTGGAGGTTGTTCTTCTATTATTTTAAAGTTATAGAAGACCACCTCTTCCTTGTAAAATCTCCAGATCACTGAAGTAATTTATTTACAAAAATAGAAAGAGGGTGAGAAGACAGCCGAGTTTGATTTTCATGACACACAAAATTGCACTCAAAACTTGTGTCAAAGCCATTTTTTGTCAGGAGCCACTGTAGCAAAGAGTGGGATGTTTAAAGAGAGATTCCAAACCCTTGAATCTCAGATGAAGTGAAGGAAAAGAAGGAACCAGGCAGGAATCATTGTACTACAAAAGAATTATTTCAAATCTTTTTAACTAAAGGATCACACATTTTGTAGTGAAGGTGTGCATCCTTCTGATGGGTTTCCCAACACTACCACTGCAGCCATTCTGAATGCCAGCCTGGGATAGAGAACGGAAGAAAGCACTCCTTTTCGCTGGGGCTTCTGCAGCACCCCAAACCCTGTCAGCCCCCAGGTTTCAAGCCTCCTTTAACTGAATCATTCTGTTCCATAGTTGCTGGCGTATAGCAGAACAGTGCCCTTATGGAATAGCTGCACTCTGGTTCTCTCGGAGTAAATATCTTTTGTTTTTCAGTCAGCGACCAGCTTAACATGAAAAGATCGACCTTCTGCTCATAAGCGATTAAACCAATTGCACCTAACTGATTTTGTGTGTTTGTGTATATGTGCACATGTGTAAGGATTCAACCACAAAGCCCTTGCAGCTTGTTCATTCTAGCTGTCATAGTAATCTTGCCACATTGAAGCTACATTTGAATACCCTGAAAGCATGGAACTTGTGCTTGAACATCCCTGCACATACCTCAATTTTATAAATAATTGGCTGAGGCTCAGAATGTACATATCCATCCTATACTGGTTACTTAAGTGAAACAACAAAGTCCCAATTAAATCAAGCTTGCAGGTACATAGGAGATGTTTCTGTTTAAATTCATAGGAATACATGTTATTTCTTCAGGTTTTGGGAAACCATCCACCACAAAATGTTTTAAGTCAGTATTCTGACCACTATACATTGCTGGTAGCAAGCGCAGCAATTTGTAGGCAAAATTTATGTATACACACAAGAGCACTGCATATGTACACACACTAGAGCACTGCACTTTGCAATAAAAAAGAGCATCTTGCCACTTGTGGGCTCACAGTCTTTTACCTGATCTTGTCAACATTTCATGTTCAGTTGTCATAGGGACGTCAGTGGGAACACACATGATACTAAAGCATTGTGCTCAAGAGGAAAAGGGCCTAATCTAGACACTCTTCAGCAAAACAAAGGTGAAGACAGTCATTCATGAATGGATGACTTGGAGAAACTTAAGATTTGTTTATAGCTACATGCATACCTTTTACTCTCTTTTTAAATCTTATCTGCTTGGCAGGTATAAAGATTGGTCGATAATGCCCAAAAGGGCTTACAACCTAGACCTCTAACCCTGCAAATACAAAACATATCCTTAACTTGTCTCATCTTAGAAATCCTAATTAGGTTCCCGTTTCAAATTCTTCGGTTTCAGCAGTAATTGCACAGGTTCAGTGGTGAAACTCTCTCTTCACGTCTCCCGTTCCCTAACGCACACGTTTGCGGGATCAAGGCCACGCGTTGCTCTTCTACAGCCCCCCGGGGCTCCACAGGGACCTCCGCACTTCGGTCCCCCAAGGGCGGCTGCACACCCCGCTGGCGACAGACCGCGG